TATACTTAATGGCAAAAAACAAAAGCCATTTCCTCTAAACTGAGGAACGAGACAAGGATGTCCATTCTCTCCACTTCTCTTCAATTTAGTATTAGAATGCCTAGCTACAGCAATAAGACAAGATACAAACACAGAAGGGATCCAAATAGGGAAAGATAAAGTAAAACTCTCCCTCTTTGCAGATGACATGATCTTGTATTTAAAGAATCCCATAGACTCCACTCCCAAATTACTTGAGCTGATTAGAAACTTTGGCAAAGTAGTAGGGTATAAAAAAAATCAATGGCTTTTCTGTATGCCAACAATGAGAAGAGTGTGGCTGAAATCAGGAAAGCAACTCCTTTTGTAATAGCCCCACAAAAATAAAATACCTAGGAATTAACTAAAGAAGTGAAGGACATCTACGATGAAAACTGTAAAAACCTCCCATGCTCCTGAATTGGAAGAATCAACATCATAAAAATGGCAATACTTCCCAAGGCTAACTACAAATTCAATGTGATACCTGTCAATATTCCAACCTCATTCTTCAATGAAGTAGAAGCAATCCAAAAACTCATATGGAACAGTAAATGCCCCCGAATAGCAAAAATGATCCTTAAAAGAAAGAACAGTGCTGGGGAAATATCAATACCAAATTTCAAACTCTACTACAAAGCCACAGTAATCAAAATAGCTTGGTACTGGCACAAGAACAGACCTCAGGACCTATGGAATAAAATTGAAAACCCAGAAATAAACCCACAATCCTATAGCCGCCTAATCTTTGATAAAGGAGCTAAAAAAACAGAATGAAAGAAAGACAGCCTCTTTAGTAAATAGTGCTGGCAAAATTGGTTAAGTACTTGTAGAAAACTAAAGCTAGATCCTTATATGTCACCATGCACCAGAATCAACTCCAAATGGATCAAAGACCTCGGGGTCAAAGCAGACACTCTGAAAACATTACAGGATGGAATAGGAGAAACCCTAGGTCTCCTTGGCACAGGCTGAAATTTTCTTAATAGAGGCCCAGAAACACAACAAATCAAAGAAAGGTTGGACAAATGGGATTGCATGAAGCTGCAGAGCTTCTGCATGGCAAAGACATAGCTAGCAGGATCAATAGAAAGCCCACGATTGGGAGAATTAAAAAAATTAAATTGTTATTATAAAGGTGATGTACAAAGGGGTTACAGTCAGGAAAAGAATACATTTTTTGGACAATATTACCCCTTCCCTTGCTCTCTCATAGTTGACCAATACTTTTTACCTGTATTTCACATAATAGAATTATAGTCCTTCCACATTTTGGAGAAAGAGGATATTTATTTTCTCCTATTGCTGAACATGAATGTGGTACCTTTTCCCCTCTCTGTTCAGTTGTTGCTTAAATATTCAGAATTTAAAAGAGGGACATGTATATCTTTCCTTTAGTCTTTTAGTGCTTTACTTTTTTTTTTTCTGTGTCAGTCCTGGGGCTTGAACTCAGGACCTACCATTAGAGCCACAGCTCTACTTCTGGCTTTTTTTTAAGTAGTGGAGATAAGAGTCTCATGGACTATCCTGCCCTAGCTGACTTTGAACCATGACCTCAGATCTCATTTTCCTGAGTAGCTAAGATTACAAGTGTGAGCCACCAATACCTAGCCCTTTAACGCTTTTTTAAATTGTGGAATACAATATCTAAAACAGTGGTAAAGCAACAACTGATAGGTCATTAAGTTACCAACAAAGTGACTATCCATGAGAGCAGCATAAGCTCCATATATAACTAGACAATTGCTCCTCAGAAACCAATTTCATGGTCCCTCTTAATTAGCATCCCTCACTTCCTAGAAGTTAGAGACACCACTTTTATTTTTTAAATTTATTTTAATAATAATATTAATAACCAGTGTTTTTTACTAACAACTTCCTGGCTTTTCTTTTTTTTTTTTGTCGGTCGTGGGGCTTGAACTCTGGGCCTGGGCACTGTCCCTCAGCTCTTCAGCTCAAGGCGAGCGCGCTACCACTTGAGCTACAGCGCCACTTCCGGTTTTCTGGTGGTTTATTGGAGAAAGGAGTCTCACGGTCTCTCCTGCCCGGGCTGGCTTTGAACCGCGATCCTCAGATCTCAGCCTCTTGAGTAGCTAGGATTACAGGCGTGAGCCACCAGCGCCCGACTAGCTTCCTGGCTTTTCAAAAATAGTTTTATGTAAATAAATCATATGAAGGTCCTTTCTGTCCTGGAATCCTTTTTTAAAAAATTAGGGTTGGTAGATTCAACCCATTGATTTGGTATAGCCTTATTTAATCACTTTTTTGACCATACTATAATTTATTATTCAGCTGAAAGACAGTTGAAAATTTGTAATTATTATATAGAAAACAATATCACATGTCAGTGCACTTGAGCGTATTTTTCTGTATGAGATAGAGTATGGTATTAATAATCTTAATTTCCCACTCTTAATTCTTCATCTCCCTAATTCTCTGCCTCCTCTCATGTTCATTTATTGACTGTTCAAATTCTTCGCATTACGGTCTGAAGACTTCTTTCTAACAAGGGAACTAGCTATTCCAATATACTTTATTTGTATAATATTTCTCTCATTAAAATGTCACTTTCATTAGAAGTTGTGCAGGAAGATGAGTTAAGAGAATAATGATAGCTGCATATCTTTCTGTAAGAATGGAAGAAAGCTTGATTTGTTATCTTGGTGCTGTGTGAGACAGCCTCATTAGCAATTGTGACGTCAGGCTTCATTCATTTTAACCACTATGCATCTAGAACAGACTATAACTTATAACTTTGTTAATTTGGAGCTTTAATTTTTTTCCTTCATTTTTTTTTTTTTTTTTGTCGGTCGTGGGGCTTGAACTCTGGGCCTGGGCGCTGTCCCTCAGCTCTTCAGCTCAAGGCGAGCGCTCTACCACTTGAGCTACAGCGCCACTTCCGGTTTTCTGGTGGTTTATTGGAGATAGGAGTCTCACGGTCTCTCCTGCCCGGGCTGGCTTTGAACCGCGATCCTCAGATCTCAGCCTCCTGAGTAGCTAGGATTACAGGCGTGAGCCACCAGCACCCGGCTCATTTTGTTTTTATTATAGCATGTTTGCTTAGTTTACAGCAAGCAGAAAATAAGCTGGGTCTCGTTTTTGATCTAAACATTGCTGTCTTAAAGGTTGTACACAATATTTGTTAAAAAGAACATATAAATATTTAGAAGCTTCTATAAGAAAGAAAATACAAAGTTTAACCCCACAACTTTCCTCTTTGCTAGAACTGCAAACTACTGCTACAGTTTTAAACAGAGTTTTTTTGTTGTTTAAACTACACATCCAGGAAAATGTTTAAAAAATTAAAGGAACATGCATATAAATGATTGCATAGCAGAACATGAACATTAACTGCAAATAGTAAAGAAATCAAAGTTAGATATTCTACCAAATATACAAAGGTTCTAGAATCAATCCTTTAAACACAGTCCACAAACAATATTAAAAAATCTTTGTTCTTATACAGGCAGGGCCTAGACTTCTAAAACCAAAATTTTTTTTTTTGGGTCCAGTTGTGGGGCCTGAACTCTGGGCCTGGGTGCTGTCCCTCAGCTCTTCAGCTCAAGGCTAGCACTCTACCACTTGAGCCACAGCGCCACTTCTGGCTTTTTTCTTATGTGGTGCTGAGGAATTGAACCCAGGGCCTTGAGCATGCAAGGCAAGTGCTCTACCACTGAGCCACCTTCCCAGCCCCCTAAAACCAAAATTTAAAGAAGTAACCCTCCAAAAGCAATCATTTCCCCAACACATTTCTTACTCATATCTGAGATTTTCAAAAATGCTAAATTTTATTCTGAAATGACCCTGGACATTTCAAGTCACTTTTAATTACTTCTCTAATGTTTCAGAGAAAGACTAGAAATTATAAATAATTAAGAGTATTACTTCCTCATTTAAGTCAGATACTATATTGATAATCAAAAACTAAGAGATGAAGCTCTTGCTTAAAACTAATCCTTTTTCCAAAATTATTTTAAGTTTCATGGCACCACAGAATCAGCTGGAATATGAGTGTCTTTCAACTTGCCTCACATTAAATAAACTGAGGTGTGAAGAACAAGTTCCCCCCCAAAGAGGCAGGCAGACTTTGATACAAATGCACGTGCCAAGTGCTCTGAGCATCAAAATTCAATTATTTTTACACTACACACTACACACACACACACACACACACACACATACATACACACAGGAAACCTACTTTGAAACTAATGCTTCTAATAGCAGTAAGAAAACTAAGTAATATTCGTTAAATTGGAGACTAAATTAAAAACGTTTTCCCCTTAAAATTATTTCTGCTGTTGGCAAATTCAAATCTTAAAGGGAATTCTTCTGTTTCAAATCTTAGAAACCAGAAAAAAAAATTAAAAAACCAAAACAGTGAAGGCTCCGCATGTTTCAGTGAAAAACTCAAATTTTCCTGAAAATGCTATTTGACCCAGTTGGCATTATTCTCCACGACAGTGGGGTTAACAAAAGAACTATTCCACACTGCATCATATATAATCACAGGCCTAGACATTTTCACAAGGTGTAAAGGTCCACCCTGAACCTAAATGTGTCTGAGCAGTAAGTGTTGTAATGTGGCTACAACTTCACTTTTGTATCATTCTATCTTATTAGCAAGCTACATTTCTAAGTTCACAGTTCTACCAAATATTAATATGAAATTTTAATAAGACAATGTTGCAAATTATGGTCAACCAAATCTTTTCACCAAGACTTCAAGAATAAAAAATGAGAATCTTTCCAAAAATATACAGAGACACCACAAATGGGTAGCTGCCCATAACATTAAACAAACCAGACTCTTAAGAGTGGCTACTCAATACCATATCATTTTAATTATAACCATTGCCTGGTTCAGAGAAAACTAACAAGTGTTTTTATGCATCATTGTAACATTGTATTCCCGATAATTTAAGTACCAAACTATGAATAAATGAGTGATATGTGCCTAGAAAGTATCATGGTTTATACTATCAGTGGCCGCTGGACTTAGGACTAATCCACGACCTTGAGCTAGACCTAGACTATGATCTTGACTGAGATTTGGATCTAGGTGGTTCTTTTTTCTTGATTCCTTTTCATATCTTGAGCCAGATTTACAATGTGTTTTGGAATCTGTTTTAGAGGTGCTTCTAGTTTTGGTGTGAGATGCCGACCTAGAACGAGATTTAGCCTTCATTTTTTTCTTAGGCTGGGACTTGGACCACGATCTTGAATTGGATTTCGAGCTTGAAAAGGATGGATTTCGGTGTTTGAATCTATCATTGTCGGAATGGCTTCTGCTACGCCATGGTCTTCCAGTCAGTTTACTGTTTCTAGGACTGTAAGATTTTCTATAGCTGTAATCAAAAGACGGACTTCTTGATCTCCTCTGCTCATGACTTCGGCTTCTAGAACGTCTGTATCTGTCATAGTCATCCCAACGTGAAGAGCTGTACACATTCCTCCCTTCCTTGGCTTTCATTTGGTTTGGTGTCTTCCGATCTCCCTGTGCAAAATCTATTTCAATTTGACATCCACAAATCCACTTTCTGTCCAAATTATGGAAAGCATCTTCAGCATCACGAACATCCTCAAATTGAACATAGACAAATCCTCTTGGACGTTGATCGTAGAAATCAAGTGGAACATACACAGCAACTATAGGGCCAGAACGACCATCTTCAGACCTGGTGTCGTCCACCACATTTCTGATCAACAGAGATGTGTTCGGGGACGCATGGACATGCAGCGAAGCCTCTGCCGTCCGCGGCTCGGCCCGCAGCTCCGGCGGCGGCGGCTCCCAGGACGCGCGCAGCCAGAAGGCTCCTCTCACTTTAATTTAAAACAAAAACACCTTTCTTTTCACCTCGTGTTTCCTCAAGATGACCTCATGGAATTCTCTGGGGAACATTGTAAATGTTGTCCTGCTTCCAAGACAGACATTCTTCATGATTCCTGCTAATACAGAAGGACCTCTATTTCAGTGCTGTTGTGAGAAGTGCAGCACAAAACAAAGGATTCCATGAGATAATTCAATGACAAATGTTTAAAATAAATGATCTCAAAAGCATTAATGCACTGGAAGGTTATGAAGTCATGAAGCAAGGGGAAAATGTTTTCAATTGGAAAGTTTTCAATTTTATCATTTTTAATCAGTAAAGAAGTTTTGGGTTATCTGAAAGAAAAGTTACTGATTTCTTTTCCTTTTTGGGAAGTTTCTTTCTATTTTTCCATGCAGGGTAAGAGCTATCATTTTTTTTTAATACCCTCCTTTTGTTTTATCCGGAAATCTGATACAGATTCTGTTGAAAGGATTTTCTTCCATTCCATTTGTTGAAACTGAAGTTGAGAGCCTTCTAAACATTGTAAGGATGCAGTTTGTGTATCAAATAATTTCTTCTGGAATAATCAAATAATTCCATATGGAACCAGAAAGAAAGGATAAAGCTTTTATTGATTGAATTCAGACACTGATTTTAGGTGCCTGGTTGGGACCATTAGGGAAGATACTGAAGAGGATGAGTGAGATGAGGCAAAATGAGAAATTCCTCAGTGGTCCATGTAGGGAAATACAAGGTGACGTGCTCAAACTCTGCAGACATTTCATTCCAGGAAAAATCTCATCTTCTTCTTTTCCACCTGCTCATATTCCCAGGACTCCAGCTCCTCATCATTCTCATACAAAGCCTCTCAAGGACTACAATTCTGCTTATCTCGTTTTTTTATACATTCATAAGAGATCTCTTTAAAAAATACTGTATTTTTTCACACCTCTTACTGAGAAACCTCTAGTAATAACTTATCAAATAAGACTGCCGGCTTGAAAGGTAAAAGGGGAAAATACAGATTAATGCAGACAGATTCTAGTAAAACCTAAGTACAGTAAACAGAAAATAAACACAGAAGATGAGTCCCTCAGGTTTCTGAAAGGTGTGAGTGGCACCCAAATAGACCAACGGTATTAGAAGAGGGAAGGTTGCTTTGAGGAGAATGACAGCTAGAATGAATGAGGAACATTTGTTGTGAGACAGATTCATGGCAAGACTGATATTTGATGAACCCTAAGATATGTATTTACATGTTTTTTTTCTTTCATGCATTTGTTTCTAACACAATTATAAGATTATTTCTTTGTTGCTTTGTATGTCCCTCCCCCACAGTATAACCCCTGCTTTCACTGTATTTGATGTCGGTATAATTTGTGGAGGGGAAGGGGAAAAACAAGTTGTTTAAATAAGGATACAGGTGGACCTGTTGCAACAATGAGAAGTACAAGTTGTCATGTCAAAAATGAACTTTACAACTTGGGGGGGGAAGGAGGCTTGGGTGGGGGGGAGGGAGGATGGGAAGGGATGGAAGGGTAAACAAAGGAGGAGGCTACAATGCTTGATAAGAAATGTACTCACTATCTTGCCCATGTAATTGTAACCCCTCTGTACAGTATTTTCACAATAAAAAAAAAGACTGATATTTGAAATTGATTTATAAACTACTGGGTCTTACTCCTAATTTAATTAATATTTTTGTTATACAAACAATTGCTTTTTTTTTTTTAGAATATTATGATGTCTCTTTGGGATTGCCCAGACAAAATCCGTTGGAATTTCTATGAAAGGCTAACTGTTGCTAATATAGTCAAGATTTCTGCACAACATTATTCAGCTGAAGTCTTTCATATTAAATTCTAAAACCAGTCAGAATATATTTGAGTGCTGTCCTAGGGAAATCTTATTAAGTAAATATTAAATAATGATGGAAGGCAATGACACATGTGAACTAAGTAAACAGTATGTATCAGGAATTCTAAAATAACATCATTTTCGTATTCTGCAACAATTCAAGAAATCAACTCGGCAGTATTTAAACAAATAAGCATCTTTATTCTTTTTAGCCCATGAGTTTCATAACTATATAAATAGTATTAACCTGTTTTTGGATAAAGAGAAAGAAGTAATTAGAGGTATTCTTAGGGTTATCTAGGTTGCATAAAGAGATATTCGGGTGCTGGGAAGACTTGAAAATCTATATTAGAGTGGTATCTTGGGTTTCTTTAACTTACTCAGGAGCATATAGATCTTGTGTTCCCTTTGCTGTTGATTTGATGGTCATTCTTTAGATTTGTTGTTTGAGTTGGACTCAGAACATTTATTTTAAGCCCTGATTTGATGTCATAAATCTCACATCTTTACTACACTATATCCCTTGTCTCTTTCCTGCTTACATTTGATTTAAGAAATACCTTTGTCAGGTTGTAATAAATGTGAGCCTTGCCTAGAAATAATGTGTCCTTCTGATGATGGATCTTTTATATCTCTGGCAGTAGTGGGACTAAGGATTGGAGTGCAAACTAGAATAAGGTGTACATGGAGAACAGAGAGGCATCTCAGCAGTCACTGCAAGGTCAAACTGGAAAAAAATGTAGAGGCAAAAAAAGTCAGTAATAATCTTGCTCCTTCTCCTCCTCCACCACCATCACCTCCTTCTCCTCCTCCTCCTCCTCCTCCTCTTACTTTCCTCCTTCTTATTTTAGCTTCACGAGCTTAGGATTTTCCTCAGGACACAATTTTTGTACCTGGTCCTCTACCATTTGAGCCACACCTCTACTTCTGGCTTTTTACTCATTAACTGGAGATATGAGACTCTGAAGTTTGTCTGCCTGGGTTGGTTTCAAACCTCAAACTTCAGAGCTTAGCCTCCTGAGTGGCTAGGATTATAGTCACCAGCCACTAGTGTCCAGCTCATACTGCATATTTTAAATATAGAATTTTCTTTTTTTCTCTTTTCAAAGAATGGAAATAAGAATACACCATGAAATTAGAATGCTATTTTCTTTGCAACTGAGTTTTTCAATGATAGCCTCACCATGATCTCATAATATATCAACACACAAACTTCACCTTCAGTTTCATAAAGGTTACCTAAAAGTCACTTAAGTATTTTCATTACCAACCCAAACTAGTTGATACCTGAGTTCCTCACATTAAACTCTAGGCACTTGTAGGTGGTTCCTACAATATCAACCACTGTATCTATGCATCAATGTGGCATCCGACAAATGGGAGTTTCAACTCTGTAAGGACCAGTTCTCAAGGGATAGAATAAAAATCAAATAAAGAATATAGGGCTAGGTGTCAGGCACATTGTACCTATCCCAAATTTGCCAGTGGTAGACTGTTTGGTTTCAATCTTACTAGGTCTATAAAATAATTTTGATGGCTTTAAAAGCTTTCTTTCCAGTTCTAAATTTCTTTAAGGCTTGGATGAGATTTCAAAGAGCTTGTCTATAAGCTGAACAATACTTGTATTCTGGAAAAGCATGGATAAATCATAAACATCTATCTTGGAGGAGAATAATTGGTGGATTTTGCTTTCTAGATGCACAGTAAAGTCAAGGTGCAGTTCATGGTGGAGATAACACACATTTGAAATGTCAGTCACTACCTTGTCACAAACCACAAACATCTGTGACATTCTGGTTGCTTGCTAACTTTGCAGCCTTCAGGGAGTTTTCTTTGCATGAGAGAGAGGGAGTGAGACACACACAGAGAGAGAGAGAGAGAGAGAGAGAGAGAGAGAGAGAGAGGAAGAGGGGAACAATGTAGTTACAAAAATATACTCCATGCTAGTGCTCCTTACCAAGAAACAACTGAACACAGTAAAGTCATCTCTGGACTAAGTTACAATATGAAAACATTTTTGTGACTTTCTTGTGTCTATAAAATTGAGTGAGAAACAAAATCAATGTCATGTAGGAGGTATGTTTTCAGGCTCTGCTGGGCTATAGAAAGTTAAAAGGAAAAAGAAATCAATCATTTTTGCTTACTGGTTACGTATACACAGCGTGATGAAGAAATGAACACTTAATGCCTCTTTGTAATAGCATGTGATTTGTAAGTTACTGACCACATTCCTTTCCTGTCTCCTGTCTCCCAGAATGTGTTGTATCTTTACTATTTAGTGAGTTCTTGACCAGGGGAGCTGTCAGGAAGACAGCAGGTGTGAGTAAGGAGAAATGTAATGATTCAGTACTAAACAATTAAAATAACCAGAAGACCACCTCTAAAGGAGGTAATACTAAATAGTCATGTTGACATACCAAATACTAAATAGCTTTGTTGAGATGATATATTTTTATAGAACTGTGCCTGCAACCATCTTTAGTTACTTGCTACTTGTTACTAGTTACTTTAGTTATATCTTTAGTACTCTGGGATTGATGTTAAAATAAAGAGTAAAGAACCCCATACAAGCAAGGTTTCACAGTCCATATATTGATTATTTCCTGGGCTGACAGGTTAAGAAGCTGATAGCTTGCCTTCACTTCGGTGAGATGAAATTTGGGTAAATGTATAAGAGTAAGTAGATACGTTGGAGGGTCATTTTGACCTTTTGGTCTGCCCAGGAATCAGGTCATGTGTATTTCATTTGCTCATGACACTTAGCAGACTTCTAGTCTCAGTAAAGGAAGACAAGTTGACACACACATATTTGGTTCAAGGACAGTGGATTAGAAAGTGGATATGTAGGCTATGCAGAGACCATACTCTCAGTTTAACTTGAGTTTATGAAATACTGGTAATGAAAACTAAGCACTAATAAAAGTACAAAAATATTGATTCTATTGATTAAAGTATCTGCTAGGCATAAGGTCTCATTGCTTCAGGTCCTTTGCATTGTAGCATAAAGGTATCAAGGGTATGATTGATGACCGGGTGTGGTGGCTCATGCCCATAATCTCATCTCTTAGGAGGGAAGTTGAGGGTATAATTTTCAGTTCATGACTAATTTGGGGCTATGTGCAGGGTTCCGCTTCAAAAAGAGAAAGAGAGCCAAATGCTGGTGGCTTATGCCTACAATCCTAGCTACTCATGAGGCTGAGATCTAAGGACTGTGGTTTGAAGCCATCCTGGGCAGGAAAGTCCTTGAGATTCTTCTCTCCAATTAGCTACACACAAAAAAGCCAGAAGTGGAGCTGTGGCTCAAGTGGTAGAGTACTAGCTGTGAGCAAAAAAGCTCAGGGACAGCATCTAGGCACTGAGTTCAAGCTCCAGGATCTATACACAAAAATATAAAATAAAATAAAAATAAAGAAAAGGAAGACATGGTTGCATCTCATTGCAATCATTGCATCTCATTGCATATTCACTAACATGATCAAATTAGAGTACAAGTGAGATAGCAGGAAAGCAGGAGAGATGTACAAGGTACCACATCCATGGATCAGTTTCATTGCCTTTGGCTAGAGACCTTCTGGAACCAAAACCAGAAAGGAGGAAATAGACTATCCCATGAAGGCTCAATGAAGACACTACAGGAATTTGAGAGGGGTAAAGTCACAGAAAGGCTGTTTGTTTAACTTAGACTAAGCCCAGATTTTTATCTTAAACTATTGTGACTGC